ATATATACAAATTTTTTTTTTTTTTTTTTTCGGAAGAGATAGTTCTGTTTTTGTTATATATGCATATTATATAATATTTGATCTATATATTATGCTAATAATATTTTTGTCCGCTAAATTAATGTTAAACGCAGTAACATTTATAATGTTTATATGTGTCTAAGACTAAAAATATATATGTGTGTGAGTGTATATATGTCACGTGTATATATATGTATATATATATATACATATACATATATATATATGTATATATATATATATGTATATATTTACGGTTCATACAGGTACAGCGAGCGTGCATGGATATTATTCAATTGTATGTATGTATGTATTATGTATGTATGTCTCTCCCATCCTCCTGTGAGATTTTGCTTGCCTTTTCGAGAGCTGTCGATGCTGGTCGCACAGCTAAATCAACAAACAGAACTCAGTCATAATATATAAATGCAGCCCGCCATCGCTCGCTCGTTCCATGCTCCGTGTTCCGTTTGTACCGCGTTATTTCTATTATTAATCTTTAATCCTCCCGCGCCAGGTTGCACCTTGCATTTGTCCGTCTATTTCGATGCATTCTCGATATTCTCGATTCGAGTAATTTTGACAACAGTAGAATAAACGAAGATCTCTCATGGAACGATAATTTTGTCAATGCAACAATAGCCGACAACGGTGGAACCACCCTTTAGATCCTAAATTTTCCCGCAACGTTTACTCTCCCCCTCTCGCATTATCACCGAGAGGGGGGGAACATTCGAAATGCGAGATGGAAAATTTAGAATGTTAAAGGCTCCTCCATATCGTTGTTGCCCCTTCTTGCAAGAGAAAAGAAACGATAAAGGGGACGAGGCCGGGGGGAAACTCGCGTCGCAGAGGACGTGCCGAAGGAGATGTCTCGCGACCGAGGCCTGCGGTCGCGGGACACCCGTCGACTTCCGGGCACGACTTCCGGCACCGAGCGCGAATCTCCCAGCGACTTCGATCCTTTGTTATAATAGATCGCGAAGGAAAAATCGCGCGGACGACGACGACGCAGCGTACGTCTGCGTCGACGTCGCGATATGGCGTCATTTTTCTCGCTTTGGCTTTTTAAAATCGAGAGTTCTTTGAAAAGACTAAAATTTCTTTCCAAAAATATTCATTTCCGGATTTAAATTTTCTCCTCCCTCTAATTCTCGCTTCGCTCGAGCGGCGGCTGCATGAAAGTCGAAGACAAACATAAATGCGAGAGAAAGAGAAAACAAACGATGGAAATTGAAGGGTCGGAAAGAAGAAGAAGAAGAAGAAGAAGAAGAAGCTGCGCCTATAAAATGTAGACAATTAATATTTCTGTACATATGCACATGAAGTTGATCGATCGTTTCATCCACCAAGTCAGTCAATCGAAAGCAATTGACGAAAGGGCTCAGCTGGGTGATATCTAGGATGGGGGGCAGGTCGAATCAATCAGGGAACGAATTGACTGAACCAAAAACGCAAAGGCAAGTCGTGTTAAATGTCATCGGCAAAGTGTCATAGCGTGAATAGAGAGAAGTTGAGATTTCTCAAAAAATAAAGACGGTATTGATCTTTTATTTTGAAAAGCAATATTCAATTATTCGAAATTGTATTTTATCGAGAATCAATTTTCTGTTTTGAAGCAAATGTAGCGCGTTTATCAACATATTTTATTTTCTCTGATATCGCTATCGCACTGCGACAGAATCGACTCTCGATAAAACTAAAAGTTTTGATTCTTAAAAATTATATATTTTTGATTCTGATAGTTTAAGGAAAGATTTTTCCAAGAGAGATAATAAAAGATTTTTTTTTTTAAATTTAATCTCGAGATTCGAAAATGCAAGAATTTCAAGGATCGAAAGATTCTAAAAAGAACTCCTTTCTATTCACGCGCGTTTCCGCTTCCGTGTGTATGTATTGTACTGTGTGTATGCGTGTTATAGGTGTAATAGATAAAGACAAAGATCATATAGGGGGGTCAATGTATGTCTCGAACCATTACAACAATGTCATAGTATAATCTGGTTTCAGAAACATGTGTAGTTATCATAGATGGAATTATATTTTACGAAACACCGAAACTGAGAGACTCACAAGCAGGAAGAGGAGGGTGTTTTCCTTCGTTTAGAGTTGACCGATCTCACGTTAACATTGCGCATCTGGTAGTCTGCAATGCAAAACACACTTTGGTAGGGTCAGGGACGGACGACGGCCTTCGACGAGATGACGAGAAACGGGAAGGACGACACTTCTCTCTCTCTCTCTCTCTCTCTTTTTTTTTCTCTCTCACTCTCTTTCTCTCTCTTCCATTCTCTCAATTCGCGATATTTTGTTCCATTTCTCTTTGTCTCTCTCTCTCTCTTTCACTCTCTCTCTTTCTCTCTCTCTCTTTCATTCTCTCTTGTCGCCTTTGTTAAAGTTAATTCGACCGGATTCACGAAGAAGCACTGTCGGATAATTAAGTGGCGCGCCTTAGTGAAAGAACCTTCTTTTGTGATGCCATTAAATTGAAAATTAATAGTAAAATTAAACGTTTTTACAAGAATGTTGACTGACAAAGTATTCAAAAAATATAATGAAAACATTATAAACATTTTATTTAATTATCTGTGTTATAGTTATGCTGTCGAAAAAGTCACAGAATAAGATTCTTCTATCGAGATCGATTTGTAGGGCCTGCTTAAATATCCGACGATGATTCTCTCACTTACACTCTCTTTCTCCCTCTCTCTCTCTCTCTTTTCTTTCTCTCTGGTCGTCATTTCTCCCGTTCCCTTTTTCTTCTCTGTTTTGCACTCTCCTTCGCTCTCTTTTTACTTTATCTCGACACTCCGTCTCTATCTTTCAATTCATCTTTGTCTCTTAGATCGAGACGGCGCGCACGCATCCTTTCTCTCGTCGATTTTTTTTTTTTTTTTCATTCGCGTTCTCTTTTGCCACCCGATAGAGAAAGCGACGGTAGACACCGGGTTTGATAATCACGATTGATAACGACATAATTCGCATCGCGAAAAGAAGCGAATAATTTTTTTTCCAATTTAGAGAACAGTTAAAAGTTTGATTTGATTAATTGATTAATGTAAATTTATGTTTTATTTATAAAATTACAAGTGTGAGTGATAAAGATAAATATTACAATAAATAAAATATATCTGCGATTTTTGTCTGATCAAGCACGACTGTAACTCCTGATTTCACGTCTGACCGTAAGGCGGTCGCAACTACTTTCTTTTCGTCTGACCACACCGCGACTGTAACTCCTTAAACCGCGGTATTTCGACGTCGCTTTCCGTATTTGTTTTTTTTTTTTCCTTCCGTTTCTTTTCCTCCGCGAGGAAAGCAAAGGTAGGAAAATGGTGGCGAAAGAGAAATCACGAGGATTGGTGATAGGGGAGCATTAAATCTGCTCGCCATTGAGATAAAGTGGGACAGGTCGCGTTGATCGGAGAGCGAGAAACGTAAAATCAAGTGGCCCCCGTCGCTCTCTTGCCTCAGGTACCAAACTACAGTAGAAGTCCACTCTAAATTCGAAACGAAATCAATGAGCCGAACCGAGCGGCCGCCATTCGCAAAAGCAGAGAGAATTCAAGAGTCCTCTCTAATCTGATCTGTCCGGTTCGATCGGTCAAGCTCTTGATCTTGATGGCCGCATCCTTTTGGCTCTCTAGCGGGATCCGACGATCCGCGCCGGCCTAAGAAGAAATTCCGAGGCTCGAGAACCTGGTATCCGACGATCCGAGGATCCCTAGGAAGGATCCGCGGACTTGAGATTCCAAGAACTTGATGGTTGAAAAAAAATTTCAATACTTGAAAATCCAAGAATTCTCGAGAGTCTCAAAAATGAGAGATTCGAGGATTCGGGGATGATTCAAGCGCTTTTTTTCCGGTCGGTCTTCGAAGATCTCCACGGGGTTTCTCGTTAAGAAACTTTTACAAATTAACACTTTACATAATAATTAATGAATTAACTTAATTATTATCTCAGATATGATTGTCGAAATGAAATTTTTTTTTCGTCGGACACTCGAGGACGCCCGGCCTTTCTAGTCCTGAAAAGAAAATCGTTATACGCTTTTCTGTGACAGGATGTGCGGGGAGCGCATATGCGTGTGTCTCTGTATATGTATGTATGCGTGAGTATATGTGATGTACGCACACATATATCGGGAGCGTTGTCGATGCATGCCCGTATTTAGTCCACGCGAAAAGCGATCGGGGGACGTAAACGGACGTAAACGGGAATAAAAAGAGCTGAATATCTCTGTCGGGGGCCGACGATTCGTGCTCGTCCTCGTCGTCGTCCTCGTCCTGCGCGCGCGTCCATCGACACAGGACGCGCGGGATGCACTTGCAGCCGATATATTTTCCGCTCGCCTGCATTCGTCGTCGTTTCTCTCTCTCTCTCTCTCTCTCTCTCTCTTTCTCTTTTATTTTTTACTGCGAGACGAACGATTAAAAAGAGATGATAGGGATGCGGAGGCGGGGATTCGAGCGATCGGGAAGCTTTTTGGAACTCGCTCCATGCCCGATTAGTCGCCTGAGGCATTATCGAATCGTGAGTCAAATCGCGATATATCATGTCTTAATCTTTCTTATTAAAAAAAATTATATTATAATATTAAATTTAAAAAAATATTAAAGAAAAAGAATTATGTTGTTACGAAAAAAATGCTAAATAGTATTCGAATAAAATCAAGCATTGTGCATTAGAAAAAATTAATATGGCATATTTAATCAAATTTAATATATCATAAGCACATTATTTCATCATTAATTCACTTTCGAATAGATTTGACGACTTAGGCGTCGTATAATCTCGTGAGATATCTTTTTAAATATTTTAAATATTCTAAACATGTCACAATAGGAAAAAGCGTATGTGACATGCGTTGAAGAACGTTGTCGTGACGAGAATGTAACGTGATTGCGGAGCCTTTTCAAGTTTCGTGTTGTGCATCTTCGATGCCGCATTCAATAGAGCCGACGGCGTTTTAATTAACTGTAAAATTAATGTCCCTTGGTCGAATTGTTAATTAAAATCCGTCGCCGTCGACTGTTTATTGAATCGCGACCGATTCTTGTCCGTGTAATAAAACGCACGTCGTCGAGTCAAGCGACGCAAACAAACCGAGTGTCCGTCATTCTTGTCATCTTACGAGTCGAAAATAAGTCGGGTAAGGGGGGACAGAGGGAATAAGAGGGAAAGATGGAATAAAAAGTTGAGACTATTTTTCAGAGTCCTCTTTCTTTGCTCGCGCGACGCGCGACCCGATTATTTTCGTCCGGGTGTGGAATAAAAAATCAAGCTTCGCGTCTATCATTCGCGATTCGATCTCGTATGATTACAGTCGTCATTTTGCCGTTTCAGCATTTCGGCAAAAATATCTCAGCGAAGAAATGTCATTTCAGGATGGTGAAAAGATAGCGATTTGTTTAATCGATCGTATTAAATTTTCCGCAAGCGATATTTATTCTTCGAGTCAAATATGAATATAAAAAATTATTAAAAATGCGTTTTAATTATTGAGGTAAGCTGTTTGAAGATTTTCTATGATGCCTTCTATAATCGATTTAGATAAAAAAAAAAAAAAAAATCGATTATTCATGTGACTGATTTTAAATGCAAAAAAGTTAGATGTAGTTTAAAGAAAACTTTTACTTGTGTCCTTTTAATTCGTCGATTTCTCAGAAGAAATTTAGGGGAGTTTTTTTTAACTCGTGGAAGAAATTTAAGAAAAATTCTTTTCACGAGAAATTACTAAATTGATGCTTCATTCGGAAAGATTCCAGGTTCCAAGAAATGTATAAGAACTGTATATAAAAGAACTGAATATACTTGATGAATTTCAAGGATCCTCAAAACATGAGGATTTTCGAGGAAAAATCGTGCCATGTAAAATTCGAGCTTTTATGATTTCCCTAGAATTTAGAAATCGGAGAAATTGCGAAAACACACAAGTATCGAAGCTGCGATCATCGTCGAAGTCTTTCCTCGCAACGGGAAAGAGGATCGCGGGAAAAGAGAAACGTCATTATTACACCCTTCTCCCATCTATCTCCATCTCCCTTTCTATCCCGCGCTGACAGCAATTCTCTCTCGCGCCATTATCGAATCCGATCGGACGCAGCAGGAGAAAGAGAGAGAAAGAGAGAGAAAGAGTCGATTACCTTTGACGGAACCACCTGTTCGGCGTTATCCTCTTTTTTCCTTAAGCGACGCCCGAATTCGTTTTATGGCTCGCATCCGCATCGCATACTCTATAAAGCGGCAAAGTGGTCGGTCGGTCGCGGATAGAGAAAAGCGAAGGGAGAGGAGAGACGAGAGGCCCCGTTGCATCCAAAGGGGGTTGGAACGTCGAGCGCGGCGCGTTGTGAGGGAGAGGGAGGAATTTAAAAGTAATTTTGACGTCGGAAAG